ATGCATGTATATATATATATATCTCCTTCATTTATATAACAGTACATCTAGCCTCTTTCTGAATCATTGCATAACTTTTAGAAGTTATTTACCAAACAGAAATCAGTTATTTCTGGTAGTGAAATAACTTTTGTATTACATTTTAAAAATGATCTTTTTTAAAAAATTTACATATGTTTTACCTGCAGGTATATTAGTGTAACACCCATGTGCCTGCTGCCCATGCAGCCAGAAGAGAGTGTCAGTCTTCTGGGAACTGGAATTACAGGTGGTTGTGAGCTGCCAAGAAAGTGCTGAGAACAAAACCTGGGTCCTTTTCAAGAACACCAAGCGGTCTTAACTGCTGAGCCACCTCGCCAGTTCCCTGTATTACTCTGTATTGTCTTCTTTCTAGTTTTGTTTTCTTCTTTGTGGTGATTCAGCTTAAAATGTCAAGACACATTTGCAATATCAATATTGTAACTTGATTATAAAAGCATCAGTTTCAATGATATAATTTGCTGAGGCAATATTTCATCAAAGAAGGATCTATTGTGTCAATTATGAATGGATATTTTTCGTGTATTAAGCTTTCGGAAAAAATTGACAAAGGACTTGCTCTTGTGGAGTATCTAAATAGTGAGACAGAAAAAAATGAAGCCAAGATATACAACAGAGGAACAAGCAAAAACTTTGGCAAGACCTAAGGAAGACAGAGAGATAGCATTGAACGCTGTTGAAAGAGAGCCAATTTAAATAGGGACTGAAATTAGCCCTCTGATGGCTTTGCTGGAAACAAGTGGAAGAGTTTTCCAAGGGAGACTACGAAAGGGGAATGTGGGCCACTCTAAGACTGTGCGGCCCACGGAAGCCTGAAGCATGTGAAAAGCTGTAAGTAAAATGGAAACAGATTTAAGATATAACTAGGTTCTAGGCTGATTGATTAAAACAAACACAATGTCTGTAAGAAAATTATTCTTAAGAGGTCTTATAAAGGCAAAGAGAATCAATTTTAAGGTGTTAAACAACAGATAAGAGCCAGGAGTGGTGGCGCCTTTAACTCCTACACTCGCAGCACTTCGGAAGCAGAGGAAGATTCCTGTGAAATAGAGGCCAGCCTGGACTACACAGTGAGTTTCAGGGCTACGGGGGTGGAGGTGGGGGTAGGGGGTGGGGGACCTGTCTCAAAATAAATAAAATAAGATAAAATAGTAAAATAAAGAAAACAAAAAAGCCAAACAAAACAAAACATAATTATGTGTGTTTGTCTTTTTGCTATATGGAGAATGTATTGGAGAGGCCAAGCATGGGACCTCAGAACTCCGGAGGTAAAAATAAAGATGACCCTGAGGAATGCAGTGATTCTTTTCATATCTGACAAGTGTAGGAGAGATAACTACAGGCAGAAATATCCAGGAGGGGCAGAGGAAAAAGAGCAATGAGAGTTCCCATCTAGTCTCTGTTTCGATTAGTTGAGTAGCAACACCAAGCCCTGGCAAAAAGTTTTTATTTGGGGGTAGGGTAGGAATCAAGATACAAAAACTAGAGAAATAAAAAATAAAATCAAGTTAACAGTAATAAGGAGAGTTAACCATAGCAAGAGATTCAGAAATTTAACTTCAGCACTAGAGTCTGAGCCTTGAAGAAAGTCCTGGAGACGAAGCTGAACTGCAGATGACCAGAAGCACGAGATTCTGTGTCACTTCCATGCCTACATCTTATTTCCCACTGATTTCACTGATTTAAAATGACAGGCACTGGGGACATCCAGCAGCAATCAGCATAAGGTTTTTCTACTATCACTTCATGATTTGATAGATGCTTATGGAACTTTCCTTTAGCTAATCATTTTTGACTAATGGAGTCTTCAACCAAGCCAGGCACAAAAGGTGTCTGCCCAGGAACACTGAATCAGTAAGTGCCTCCCCCAAGCTATAATGAAGAGCACCAAGAAGCCATGAGCCCAGCTTGCCTTCATTTACTATCCTTGGAATGTGAAGGGTAAGTGGAC